AACTCAGCTGTGCCTTGGAGCAGAGGTGCTGCCTGCAGCACTCCCCTGCTCCCTCCAGCTGCCCTGTTTTACCAGCCTTGCTCCTTTAAGTATTGATTTCCAAATAGCTCCATACAGAAGACTGACCCAGAATGAAGAGCCCAAATGGAGCTTAAAGGGCTTAGAAGAGCTCACCAAGGTCTGCACGTCCCCCTCGGCGGCAGCCAAATCCCTCCGGCTGATACGATGGTCACGGTTATCTTCCCTGGCAACTGTGTCATTCTTGTCATCATCCTTAGAAGCAGAAATCTGAGGTACAACCAAGGGAACCCAAATAATAAATTAGACATTTGCAGACTTCAAGAAAACATGTAACTGCAGGTTTCTCTCCTTCTATCCTGGCTGTTCCAACAGCTGTGAATAAAATGCTACTCCTGTCTTTTCTAGATCACTGGTGGAAATTTATACCAGAAGCTAACCCAGAACCTAAGGTATCTTAATTCTTCTTCAACTCAAAACTTTTTCACTGATAGAAAAAAAAAATTGCTCTTAGACTGCAACAGGTAATTCAGTTCTGCAATCTTTAAGACTTTTCCTCAACATTTCAGTTTTAAACTCTGAAAGCACAGCAGTATTACAGCACTGTACATGAGTACGCATGATCACACATACACAAAAATCTTTTTTAACAGGGGCTTGAAGAAGCGTACAGTAGATTAATTAATTATTTCATTAATCCCTTAGAAATTCCCAATGCAAAAATTACAAATTTACATATGGGACTAGGCAGAGCCACGCTCCTTGCCCTCTACACAACAAATCTCTATGAGAAAACTCAAGAGAGTTGTAAAAAATATATTACTGCAAATGGTCTAGCAGAAGCACAGAAGATTTTTATTTATATATATTCACTAAAGTTGCTTCCTGATTGTCAAAGATACAAGAGTATTATTCTTTGTTGTTCTATACATGGAATTGTTTCCCTGTTTGCTTAAAATTAATATACTGATTTTTACTACTTGTTCTAAACTGTCTTAAAATTCAGCTGTATACATTGACATGTACTATCAAAGAGTGCTGCCTTATTCATCAGCAAGAGATAAAAAACTAAGTCAGTGTTAGATATTCTCAGGGATTTGGCTGTTTTGAGGGCTTACAAACCAACCAAACATACTTCATTCCACTCAAAAAACAAAAAAGGAAAGTCCTGCTTACCTTAATTTTCAAGGGATTGATTTCCATGTCAGAAGTGCAGTTCATGGGACCATCGATCTCATACTGAACAATGTAGAGCAGTGTGTTGTTTTTGTACTTGTAGGGCCACTGCAGGGTCATCATCACCTTGCTGAATGCACTTGGACCATTGTTTCTCAGCTGATTATGAAAATAAAATTTACAGATGTAAAAAAACCCACCCAAACAATGCTACTTTCTCTGTTAACGTGCATGAAGTTTGTTATTTGATATTTGAGCAATAGCATCAACAACTTCACCTAAAAGTGCCAGTCAAACTTCAGTTCCCCAACAGGTAAAACTTCAAATTACTTCTGTAATCTGATAAAATGTAACTTGAAGAAAAGCTATATGGCATTGGGGCTTTTTGCCTTGAATTAATGTAATTTTTCGTTGATAAAACATGGGTTGTTTTTTTTTAAGTCGATTAAATGAATCACAGCCTGAGCCAAGATACTCTGAGCACAGATACATACAGCAGCAAGTTTCATCACATAAATGGTCTCTCAAGTTCTAGGACAACTTTTAGCTATTACTGTTCACACAGCTCTCAATAAGTTTTGTTTAATTAAACAATCTAGATTAAAGCTGTGATCGTTCTTGTGTGGAAATTTTAAATACTTGAATTTTTTCAAGGCAAAAAGACTTCACAAGAATGATTTAGAACAACTGCAGTACAACTGAGGATAACTGAATAATTTACAGCCATGAGCCATTTCCTGAGCAGAAAAAGTTACTTCAGATGTTTTACCTAGAATTAAAAGCTGAGAAAGTAAAATATGTGTAATTATGTAAGTAACCAGCCCCTTCTGTTTGTTCCACCCCTTCTTGCAGACAGCAGTTATTGACCCAGCATTAAAAAAAATAACATCTTTCCTTCCATGCAAGAAAAAAAATCATAATTTACTACAGAGAAAAACTACAGCAGAAGATTTAATTTATCACAGCACCGTGTCATTGAAATTAGCAGTAATTCCATACCTCATAAATATGCTGAACTAGAGGCCCAATGTCCTCTTCTGTTTCTGGGTTCTCCTTCGGCTGCCAGTTTGCAATGGGAAGGAATATGTGATCAGGAGATGACACACTAAAAAGGGGAGCAAAGGAGTTGTTATTATCAGGTATGAAACCATAAACATTACTCTCTAGAGTATCTAAAAAAACTAAAAA